ACTTTGATGTAATGTCCTTAAAACAAGTCAAAATGAGGCTCAGTAGTGTGCATGGCCTCCACGTGCCTGTATGACCTCCCTACAATGCCTGGGCATGCTCCTGATGAGGTGGTGGATGGTCTCCTGAGGGATCTCCTCCCACACCTGGACTAAAGCATCCCCCAACTCCTGGACAGTCTGTGGTGCAACGTGACATTGGTGGATGGAGCGAGACATGATGTCCCAGATGTGCTCAATTGGATTCAGGTCTGGGGAACGGGCGGACCAGTCCATAGCATCAATGCCTTCGTCTTGCAGGAACTGCTGACACACTCCAGCCACATGAGGTCTAGCATTGTCTTGCAATAGGAGGAACCCAGGGCCAACTGCACCAGCATATGGTCTCACAAGGGGCCTGAGGATCTCATCTCGGTACCTAATGGCAGTCAGGCTACCTCTGGCGAGCACATGGAGGGCTGTGCAGCCCCCTAAAGAAATGCCACCCCACACCATTACTGACCCACTGCCAAACCAGTCATGCTGGAGGGTGTTGCAGGCAGCAGAACATTCTCCACGGCATCTCCAGACCCTGTCACGTTTGTCACATATGCTCAGTGTGAACCTGCTTTCATCTGTGAAGAGCACAGGGTGCCAGTGGCGAATTTGCGTTGAATTTACGTCCTGCACGGTGTTGGGCTGTAAGCACAACCCCCACCTGTGGACGTCGGGCCCTCATACCACCCTCATGGAGTCTGTCCCTGACTGTTTGAGCAGCCACATGCACATTTGTGGCCCACTGGAGGTCATTTTGCAGGGCTCTGGCAGTGCTCCTCCTGTCCCTCCTTGCACAAAGGCGGAGGTGGCGGTCCTGATGCTCGGTTGTTGCCCTCCTACGGCCTCCTCCACGTCTCCTGATGTACTGGCCTGTCTCCTCGTAGCGCCTCCATGCTCTGGACACTACACTGACAGACACAGCAAACCTTCTTGCCACAGCTCGCACAGATGAGCCATCCTGGATGAGCTGCACTACCTGAGCCACTTGTGTGGGTTGTAGACTCCATCTCATGCTACCACTAGAGTGAAAACACTGCCAGCATTCAAAAGTGACCAAACCATCAGCCAGAAAGCATAGGAACTGAGAAGTGGTCTGTGGTCACCACCTGCAGAACCACTCCTTTATTGGGGATGTCTTGCTAACTGCCTATGCTTTCTACCTGTTGTCTATTCCCTTTGCACAACAGCATGTGAAATTGATTGTCAATCAGTGTTGCTACCTAAGTGGACAGTTTGATTTCACAGAAGTGTGATTGACTTGGAGTTACATTGTGTTGTTTAAGTGTTCCCTTTATTTTTTTTGAGCAGTGTATATTATAAATTAAGGCAGCAATGCCCTATTTTATCACATTGGAGAAACTTAACCTCCTATTCTTACTGACCCACTTGATTAATATTCTTTAAAATAGTGAAACAACCTTGCTGCTTAACTTCTTAATATAAATATAAATTTTAATCAAAGGGTCATTTTAAAATAGGAAGCATGTGTGTCTAATGATAGTAGGTACTCATCTTTCCCCTCATATTTAAATATAGAATTCTAATTGCATAAATAAATCCATGATTAAATGTTCTATACTTGAAGGTGGGGGAGGGATTTCTGCTATCTTTCACAAAGAAATGTATATTATAAAAACAACATAATTACAACACCAATACACATAGTGCCTGACTTACAACCACATTGCTAATAATTTGTATTGTGTTAGTTTTTCTAAAAGCTTAATGTGAAAAATTAGATAAAAGATTCGATAAACTCATAACAATTTCAAACCATCCTAAAGAAGACATCCAGACAAAGGCAATTAAATCAACCATGGATTGGAAATTAACTGGAGACTTGCTAAAAGAGGCTGAAGAAGACATTAATGAATTGGACCTTCTCAGAAAGGTTGATGGATTTTGCAGAATAGAACTATTTATGCAACTAGAAGACAGTTGCCAAGACATATCTCTGGACACCTACATAACTGGATAGAAGCATTCTGTCAAACAGACAACAAATGGTCAAAATTGGGAGTGTCCTATCAAATTCTGTACCTGTCAATGGTGGTGTCCCCAAGGCAATGTTCTAGGACCAACTCTCTTCATACTCTACATAAATGACCTCTGTGATCATATTAAGAGCAACTGTGTTCTCTTCACTGATGATGTAAAACTATTCAACACCACAGACAATACTACTACCCTCCAAAAAGACCTATCAGAATGGTCAATCAAATGGCAACTTCAAATCTCAACAAATAAATGCTCTGTCTTACATATTGGCAAAAAAAATCAGAAAATAAAATACAAGCTAAATAGTCAAGACCTTGTTGAGGATCCAGTGCTAGAGCCCACTGTAACTACATAGCCAAAAAGGCATTAAGAGTTGTTAATCTAATCCTACGTAGCTTCTTCTCTGGTAATACCATACTACTAACTAGAGCATACAAAACATTTGCTAGACCTATACTTGAATACAGCTCATCAGTCTGGAACCCACATTACGTATCTGATATTAACACAATTGAGAAAGTCCAGAAATATTTCACAAGAAGAGTCCTCCTCTCCTCTACTAATTGCAGAATATCTTATGCCACCAGATTTGAAACTCTAGACCTAGAAAACCGAGAACTACGCCGCCTTCGGTCCGATCTAAATAATAGTATATAAAATCATACACTGCAATGTCCTACCTGTCAATGAATACTTCAGCTTCAACCATAACAACACAAGAGCACACAATAGATACAAACTCAAAGTTAACCGCACCAAACTTGATTGCAGAAAATACGACTTCAGCAACAGAATGGTCAATACTCTACCTGACTCTGTGGTTTCTTCCCCAAACCCCAAAAACTTTAACCTTAGACTGTCTACTATTGACCTCACCCCCTTCCTAGGAGGCCTGTAGGGGGCATGCATAAGCGCACCAATCGTGCCTACCGTCCCTGTCCTATTGTTTCTTTTTATTTTTCTTATAAGTATCTATCTCATGTATTCAAAACTATGTTTATTCTTATACCTGTATCTTGTAAGCGATTGACAAATCAAATAAATAAATAAAAATAAATAAAACATTGTGTCCCAAATTTACTCAGCATCAAGTGCCATGGAGATATCCTCAATGAAGAATCTATGTTTCAGGGGTGTGAAAAGCAGTTGTTTGCAAAGACAGTACTCTTCAATATCTTCATAAATGACTTACATAAGAGAATAGAAGGAGAACTCATCAAATTTGCAGATGACACCAAGCTGGCAGGAATAGCCAACACACCAGAAGACAAACTCAAGATCCAAAAAGATCTTGACAGACTTGAATAATGGGCCCTATCCAACAACAATGTGCGTCAGCAGCCAAAAATGCTAATACAAAATACTTGGTTGTATAAACAGATTCATAGAATCAAAATCACTTGAAGTATTACTATCACTTATAAAACCTTAATAAGACCACACCTGGAATATTGCATCTCGTTTTGGTCACCACACCACAAAAAAGTTGTTGAGACCTTGGCTAAAGTACAGAGAAAAGCAACTAAGATGATTAAAGGACTAGAGTCTAAAACATATGAAGAACAGTTGCAGGATTTGGGTTTGGCTAATCTACAGAAAAGAAGTACTAGAGGTGACATGAGAGCAGTATTCCATTATTTGAGGGGCTGCCACAAAGAGAAGGGCATCAACTTACTTTTCAAAGCACCAGAGAACAGGACAAGAAACTATAGAGGGAAACTAATCAAGGAGAGAAGCAACTTGGAATTGAGGAGAAACTTCCTAACAGTGAGAAAAATTAACCAGTGAAACAGCTTATCCTCAGAAGTTGTGGGCTCTTCATCACAGAAGGATTTTAAGAAGAGATTGGACAGCCACTTGTCTGAAATAGAAGGATCTCCTGCTTGAGTAGGGGATTGGACTAGAAGATCTCCCAACAGCTCTTCTGCTCTATTCTATTCTATTCCCAAATGATAATCAGCAGTTTTCTTCAATTTCTCCAAAATTCTACCCAAATTGCAGACTCTTCCCCCTCACCTCTTCTTCTAAAAGAAAATAAGCTTCAAAATTTAACACAGTCAATACATTTCATTTCCAGAATTAAATGTCCCAATAATATAAACTTTTGCCATTTTAGTATTTCAGCATTAGATTATTAGCTACCAACCTAAAATATTACTGCCAGCATTTGATGAAAAAGAATTTAAATTAATGCCTTCTAAGCTTACAGCTTTCATTTTAAAATATTTTTTCTATAATAAACCAAAATAAATATATACTCCTGAATCCTGACTCATATAATTGCTTTGTTATTTCTCATATTACCTTGAACAAGACATTAGATTGGGAAAACAAAAAACAATATAATATTTCTAGTGAATCCTTTATTTCTCCATTTTCTTTTCTTTTCAATGTGTATCACTACCAAAACTAGCCAGAAAACTGTTTTCATTTCCTTATGGGATCATCAAAGTAATGTGTGTCACCTCATTTCAGAAAATCCAGGTCATATAAGGAAAACCCCACAGTGAATTTTCTACTGGTATGTATGGCAATGTTACTTCAGTTCTCCAGAGAATCAATAAAATTATACAAAGGAGCTTATTACAAAGCCTTCACCCACATAGGGACGAATTCCTGAAACAATGTGAGACCAATACCTATTGTACTAGTTCATACAAAACAAAAATTCCAAGGACCAAAGAATTTACTCGGCCTCTGAACCAGATACTCAACTTAGGCTTTCTGAGGAGGAATCAAACTTTTAAAAGCGGTTGCATCGGCTGAATACTGACCATGCTGTAGTAATTTCAGATGATGTCTACTTTTTTTCTCTAAAATATTTTTATAGGGAATTTAATTTGACATTAAACAATGCTACTGTCTGCTTGTTGGTTATTCTTGGTCATTCTATCCAGTTCGCATTTGCAGATCAAGAAATTTTCTGAGTATTTATCAGTCAATTTATATTTCTAATGTATGTGTCTTACCGGACTTGGAGTTTTTATTTCTCTGTCTGGTTTCCCATCTGAAAAGGGTGGAATTACTGGTATGGGAGGTGGTCTCCGCTTCTTTATTTCAATGCTTGCAGTTGTCCCTGATATATTCCCAAATGATAATGATGGCTCTACCTTTGCAGAACATAAATTTCCTAAAGAATCCGCTATCACTGTTTCCTGTAATCAGATAAACAAACCAGCATCGAAATTTATTAATGTGACATTTCAAAACCATTTATTATAAATTTACCTGAAACAATATCAAAATGCTGCTTGATATTTCATCCTATTTATGTTGGCCCTCCAAACCATGGTTTTTGTCAGTTGTCTGACAATTTCATTATATAGTGCCCTGCTAGATGGTTGCATTTAATCATAGTAACTAATTAAATGCACTTTCTGTGTATTTTGACACCATTCTGTTTTCATCTTTTTAATGTATTTTGGTTGATTTTTTTAAAATTGGTTTTTATCAATATGGATTGTTTCATTTTATATACTATCCAGAGTAACTACATGAGATGAGTGATTATATTAAGTTGATAAATCAATCAAATTACTTTCTCTTATTTCTAACTAATAATCACAATTATATTAATTTAAAACTAAAGCAAATACAAATAACTTAATATTAAAATGAGATGAAATGAAGAGGAAGTATGAACCTGAGCTAAGCTGCCAGATATGGTCAGCTTAGCAAAGTTGGTCAGACATAACAGCAGCATTCTGTTGCAGAACTTGCTGGTCCTCTCTTTTCAACAGCAGAATTAAGACCAGAACTGTTCCTCACTAAATCATATGCTAAATGAATGCTTACTACCACTAGCATTCCATCAATGACACCCATGCATTACACCATCTAGTAAAGCTTCATAATAGCAGATACTGTAGCAGTGTTTGTCATTGTACTAATTAGCATGAAAAAATAAATACTTTTAAAGGAACATCAGCAAATGCAAGACAAATGCACACAAAAAATCCTTCAACTACACTTTATAGAAAACCCCGAAACTTTCAGTGACGCCACCAATAAACTATCTTCGAGAATGAAAGAAAACTGCTTGTTCTATCGCAGGAGTGAAGCATAGCCTATATATTTTGCTTCTGCCTTAGAACACTAGCAATAGCCTAATTTGAATTGAGTGTCCTTTTCCACTTTTTCTTTTTTTTTCTTTTTTTTCTTTTTTATATATCAATACATAAACAATGGGGCATCTGGGTTTCATTCATTTGGATACAAGTAGTAATAGTCGTATTAATAATATTTGTTACTTTAATCATACTTATGTAATTATAATGTTATACATATTTGTGTTAAAATATAGGCCTTCATTATTCAGTTGTTTAGTATTTTAGTACACCATTCTAATGACAATAACAATATCATTAAAACATACATAGTGACACCATCTTTCAACATCTAATCTTTACATCTAGCTATTGCTTTTAGTATATTATATAGAAATATGCATAGTAATATTTCCCCTATTTCTTGTTTCTGCCTCTGCTCTAGCTCGTAATAGAGCCAATCTTGTGTTACAAAACATTTCCTCTATCCATCATCTCTTATCTGTTTAAGTATTTCCATTTTTATGTTTTTTAACTTGCCTCCCAAATTCCTCCCCTGGGTCTTTATCTCTATCTACATCTTTCCTGTTTAATCTAAATATTCCTTCCATTTCTACTATCTTTTACTGCCAAGCCTCCAGAGGTCTGTCCATGTCCACTTTTTTCTTTTGGCTAACGCACATACCCTGTTTTGTTTTGTCTTTCAACTGACATGTTAATGTAATTAATACAGAATTCAATTCCACTGGCAAGAATACAATCATTTATCCTCAAAGGAATTTTCAACAAAGAGATAGACTATAATTAATTCCTTAATATCATAGTAGCGCTATCGAATGGTTAAATTAGGACTTACATCAAGGCTTTGTTTACGATACAATGCAGAATTTAAAAGTTCTCCATGACCCAGATCTAAACTTCTTCTTGAGGATCTCTCTGCCTGAAATTCAAATAAACATCCTACATCATATTTTTTTAATAAATATATTCTATACCTAAACATGAACAAACTCAGTAGAAAAGCTGTAAAAGCATAACTAAGCACAGATTCAACTGCTGGTTGCTCATTATTTGGCAAACTGATACCTAGATCCCGAGAAGGAGTTAGTCTAAGCATAGGGTAGAGAGAGGAATACAACAGATTCTGCATTCTTTGAATTATACATATTTTTCCCTTAGAAGCAATAAGAACGTGGAACATTTCATCAACTCTGACTGAAAAAAATCTATAGTATTATTACATAGAAAGTATATGTCAATTTTAAGGCACAAAGAGTGGTGAATACATTTGCTTTGTCCAACTCTAAAGAATACAGTGGGAAGCCTACTGGAAAAGATACACAGAACTCCCATCCCAAACAAGCATGTTTGTGGGAGTCAGCAGCAAGTCCTGGAATGATTCTCTGTGTCTGATGAGAAACAGAGTCATCATCCTTGCCTCTCCTCTGTTTCAGTTAGAAAAGAACCAACAGATTTTTATTTGGAAGCTTATCTCTAAGAGAAATAAACCTCAATTAGCAGTAATCCAGAGGACAAAGCAAAAATATGTTATCCTATTAAGGCACTATACCTTTCAAAAGTTGTAGGTGCTCAATTACTGGGAGCTTTCTCTAAAAAAATGGACAATCCTCTGGAATGGTATAGGATCTCCTGCTTGAGCAGGGGGTTGGACTAAAAGACCTCCAAGGTACCCTCTAACTCTGTAATTCTGTTATTTTATTTTTTAAAGACATACCACAATTAAAATGATTAGGAAATTTATTTGACTAGAGAGATTACTGCAATTGATTGATTGGTATGATATTGGCTATATTGATTACCCAAAATTGTTCCATTAATTAATTTAATCAACGTACCATCTTAACAAACCTACCATGCCAAGAAAAAAATCCAATGCCAAACCACAACCTAAAGAGAAAGTAATCCCCACCAATGAACCACAAGACTCCTGCACATGCCTTAAATGCTACAAAACTCTAAAGGATAATGAAAACTCCATCAAATGTTCTCTATGTAACAAATACGCTCATCAGGACTGCTTGGGATTACCCAAGCAAATGATTCAATACCTAGAATCATCCAATGAGTTTCCATATCTCTGCAAATCATGCAGACCCAAACTGGATCTGTTGGAAAGAGTTGATCCCATTGAAACACGAATAACATCCCTTGACACCATAGTAGCATCCCTGGACGCCTTAAAAGAAAGATTATCCAACCTTGAAAAAAAAGACACAACGCAAAAACCTGAACATCCAATAGCTACAAACCACATCTCTACCCAACAACCACAACCCAATCCACAACCCAATCCACAAAAAAACATAAGCCAGACAAATAATGATATCCCAATCCTCATCAGAGAAGCTATTGAGCGTGAACGGAAACGTCCAAACGCCATCTTATTTGGTCTAGAGGACATCAATGACAATGATGACATCACAACTGTCCGAAACATCATCAGTGATTATCAAGCATCAACCATCTCCCCTGATGAAATACTTGACATTTCCCGCATTGGCCGAGAGCTCAAAAACAGAGACGGCTCTGTGGCCCCACGCTTGTGCAGGGTCATTTGCAAAAATGAATCAAGCAAACGTAAATTCATTTACACTATAAATTCACTCACCAAAACCAACACCAACCATAAGAACCTCCGTTGTCACCCTGACCTAACCATACAGCAACGTGCCCACTCCGTGTACTCTGCACTGAACTCAAAAAACGTCTAGACAATGGAGAGAAGGACCTGTACATTGACTACCATGCTGACTGTATCAAAAGTAAGCCACACAACCCGCAACTCAGCTTTAACCTTCAACCACAACCCTACCTCAACCAATCCATCATCACTCAAGACTAGGCAGGCACGCCCCTAACTACCTCAATTCCAATTACTGCTGGCCTTAAATGCAAGCTACTCAATGCAAGAAGCCTTGCGAATAAAATACCTGAATTTCTCCTCTTACTAAATATGGCTAAATTTGACATCATATTTGTCTGTGAAACATGGCTCAATGCATCTCTCCCTGACTCCATTACCACAGTAAGAGACTATCATGTTTACCGATCAGATCATGAAATTCGTAGAGGAGGTGGTGTTGCTATCTTCTATAAAAAAGTCCTTACATCTAAAAAACATCCAAGTTACTCAGGAGCTTGCTCTTCCTGAGACCATCATCTGTGAACTATCCTTAAATATCACATTTCGATTCTTACTATGTTACAAAGCACCTGATTATGACATCGAACATGTAAACAAGCTAAATACACTACTAACATGGGCAGCATCCTGCCCACACGCTTTTATCTTTCTTGGTGACTTCAATCTACCGTATATACTCGAGTATAAGTCGACCCGAATATAAGCCGAGGCACCTAATTTTACACAAAAAACTGGGAAAACTTATTGACTCAAGTATAAGCCGAGGGTGGGAAATGCAGCAGCTACTGGTAAATTTCAAAAATAAAAATAATTAATTTGGGAAACAATCTCACTATCTCACGTCGCCTCGGGAAGGGAAAGGCAAAGCGCTTTTTGCCTTTCCCTTCCCGGCTGGGGCTGTTGGGAGTCGCTGCCGCCTGCCTTTCCCTTCCCGGCTGGGGCTGTTGGGAGTCGCCGCCGCCTGCCTTTCCCTTCCCGGCTGGGGCTGTTGGGAGTCGCCGCCGCCTGCCTTTCCCTTCCCG